GTAAATTCCATCGCTAGGTTGCTTAATTGTGGGCAGAATGCTCCGTCTCATCTGCTCAAACCTGGGTTTCACACTCAGCGTCAATGTTGACAGATTCGAGTCCTAAGGGTTGAGCGATGTCGTTTCGCACAGCTTCAGCACTCTTGCGATTAATTCTTGCATGTGGGGGAACAGGCATCACAGCATCGTTGTGTGAAAAAACACGTCGTATTCCGCTGGAGAGGAGGGGAGGGGAGGAGTCGTAGCAAAAGCGAAATTTCCGGGGAAAAGTAAGGAGAAATTCCGAGAAATCGAAAAAAGGGTAGAGTGGAGAATTCTAGGAAATTTTCCCCGTTCCACATATGCTGCGGTTTGCCCTCAGCTAGAATTCGAGTCTTTGTATTTACTTAGGCAAAGTGCTTCCTTCCATCAGAGGGTTTGGCGCTGGTTAAGTTCGTAGGGTTGAACTACGGCTCCTTGTGCAAAGCAGGATAACCATAATGGAGATAAGGATTTTTTTCTAGGCCTAGCAGAAGAAGAAGTTGCGGATTGGCTGCCGCAACACTTTTAGTTGGCCCACTCTATTTGGATGACGGTTGCAACAAAGTGTCTTTCAAATGTGTTTTTTCTTCCCGAGGGTTATTAGCGCCAATGCCATCGCTTTTAGAGGTTCGGGGTGTAACCACACAGTTCTAATTTGGCAGTCAACGAACTGTTTTGGCCCCTATAGGCTATACATCTCAAAACCCTTGAAGTAGGACAGTGTGAGCTTAAAAGTCCTCTGAAGGCCTCTTTCACCTAACGCACCAAAGATTATGGATCGCTGGTTTGAAAATACAGGGTGACCAAAAAGTTCTGGCAATTTCGTGTTTGTGCGTTTTTGAATGGCCATTATGGTCTGTTTTCTCTCCGATGGGTTATTTGTATTCCGCAAGCCATTTCGAACTACCGTACGAGTCATCTATCCAATCACTTTCGATTTCTCCTCGCACTGTCTCGAAAAAATCAAAAAGTTGCAGTTGTTGAAACCCATCTTCTGGTCGGTGCTTGTTGCTTGAAGAATGTGCTCGCCACCGACGAGAAAAATTTTCGATCACAACTACCGGAATTGTTGTCTGCTCCTCAGAAAAGGTCAACAGAAGGCAACGGCTGTGAAATCCGTCGGACGCAGACTCTTTCCAGCCTCAGTCACGGTCTGAGGCGGGATCTGTGCCACCGGAAAGACCTCTCATTTCTTCATCGAGCGCATCGTAAAGATTAATGCTGTCTACTCCCAACAACGCGTTCTCCGCGATGTACTGAAGCCATGGGTGTCGTAGCACTTCGGCCCGGATGGACATGTGCTTCAGCAAGACTGGGAGCCAGCACATCCTGCCAAACCCACGAACTGCCGCTTGTGAAGAGCTGCTTCCCGATTTTGGGGCAAGGACGTTTGGCCTCCCAACTAGCATGGTCCGAACCCCATGGATTATTCCATCTGGGTCGAAAAATCTCAGGAATTCGATGCGCAACGGTTTACCACCTGAAAGTGGCCGGCGACGTTGCTGCGTGTGTTTGGGACCAAACTACACAGAAGAATGCGCGACCATTGTCGGACACTTTGGAAAACGACTACGTAAATGTGTTGAGGCTGAAGGAGGCATTTTTGAACACTTGTTGGAACTTTGTTGTATACGGTCATTGGTACTGATTAGATGAAGACTCCCAGACGTTTAGTTGGCTGATTTCCTTTTTCGAACGGTATTTTTATGCTACCGAAGTATTCCGAAAAATTGCCAGAACTTTTTGGTCACCCTGTAGAGAGAAGGAACTGCAAATCCTTTTTTTCATTTAGCGGTCACAATATGTAAGTTCTGTACTATGCATAAAAATAGATCAAAGAACAAACTTTGGACTCGCAAGAAAAATCGCTCCACCCCGAATTTTCGTTGCCCCTGGGAAATCCAATTTTTCAGCGGAACGTCAAATTCGCCACTATTACTTTCAATTCATGCAGCAGACATCAACGACATGAATGACCTTTACCCGGCTACCATGTTCATGCACCAGCAGAGAGTTTATTCGAGATGTTTTGCGGCTCAAATTTTTTTTGTTTTTTGTTTCTTGTGCATAGGAAGGCGCGAGCCACCCTGCAATTAACAAAGCCTCTTCTTCTTCTAAACACCACTCCTCAGTGATTTTCATGTCTGCGCGGTTATTCACTATTTTTTTGAGATATTATCAAAGAGATGGGACGCTAAGTAGGCGCAGAGGGTACCACGCACTGCCGCGGGAGCCCGTCTCTGCACATTCTCCAGAAAGGCTCAAAGCTCAGAGCGCAGACAGCCAGAATCGCCCGACGGTATAGGGTCCCGCCAGGGAAGGGAGGGCGGGGGGGCTTCCTCTGCGGCTGAAGTTACCGTCGACGATAGATGGGCGTGCTGTGAAGTGCGTGGAGCGCGTGTGAGGGTGTGAGGAGTGGTGGCGAGGAGGCTGTGTGGCGATGCGGTAAGAGGCGAGCCCCGTGCGCAGTGCGCGGAGCGAGGGTGCGCGGCGCGTCCAGCTTTCAGGAATGATGGCAAAACGCTTCTCCTCGTCGAGACTCGAACCTGGGCCGCGTGGTTTTCGAGCCTGAAATAATATTAACTATAACTGACCTTTTCTGGATAATCTCTCCATCGCGAACTGTAGAAATAAGTGACAGTTTTCCTAATAATATAAGTTTTTCAAAAAATACATCTGCACGGGGAGGAAGTGGTGTAGTGACTGGTGGTGCCGCTCACACCGCGCTTAGGTTTGTCCACTGGTGGGGTCAGACTCCAGATGAAGTTCCACTCGAGCTACCAAGCTTCACTGCATCTGATTAGTGCTAGGGTTCTCTAGGGGGATGGCGTGTTGATGGGCTGTTCCCTATGAAACAAATCGCGGTCATAATGCCTTCATGATTTTTAGTGGAAGTAGAATGTGTGGCGTATCTTATAGATCCATGATCAGCGGTAAAGTTGCCAGCTGTATAGCCTGGCTCACTAGTTAGTCGGAGGCCTAGGTGTTTTTTTACCAGGGCGGTTGCTCAAGTTCTTCGGTTGACAGCCACCTTGCTGAGTGCATGTTCTTGAGCGTTTTTGGCCGTCCTTACACACTATCTTCTCTTGCCCCTTCCAGCTGTCATTGTCACAAACAATTTCTTTTGGTGAGTACTGCAATCTAACGGTTTGTTTGCCTTGCCATTTTGGTAGGCATTTTTCTGGAAACATGCCTTCTCCGCTATCGAAAGCTCCTTTGCTTCATGGTCGTTTTTAGTTGGCGATTTGTTGACAGAGTAATGTCGAGGCGTCCGCCCTCTCATACTAACCATATTGCTGTCTCCCCCTCTATTTTCCTTTGTGCAACACATTTCTGATAAAACAGATTTATATGCTGACAACCTTGGCAGGAGGGGGGGGGAGTATGCAAAGAACTGCTGGGAAAATTGGGATTCTCGCAATGGAGGTATGGGCGTCTAACCTGAGCCTAGAGTGAGGCGCGCTTCAGTGAAGCTTTTATGGTTGGTGCTTCTATTCTGACGACCTCACTCCCAGTTTTACACATGAAGTCCTTAGAGAGCTCCTCCCCTCACCCCCCCCCCAGGTTGTCGGTACCCTCATTTGCAACAAAATATGTATTAGGTTTCGTTTTTTTATCTTTGCCTTACCGCACCTTCTAACATTCTTTTTGCGAAATGTCGGACTTCTAGATCCCGCTTAACGTCCACTTGACCTATTGTGGCACTTCCACTTTGAAGACAAATCACGCGATTACATATTGTGGATAGTGACGTTCAGTTAGGAATCCTTCTGGCTAAGTGACTTCCCAGGGAAGAAAAAAAGCAAAAAAGTTAACCACCCTGTACAACGAACACGAACGAACACCCTAAACAAGGACCCCTGGCAGTTTTACTGGGCGAGTTACCCAGAGCTGCTCGTTCTATACCAGCAAAGCGATATCCTGCCACCTCTGGCTCGTTTTTCCCAATGCTAGTACCATATAACCACCTGCCCTAGATAGAACCCCATTTCGATCCCAGTTTGTACATG